GCTGTGCCTGAGCTCCAGCCTCTCCCACTCCAGCTGCTGGACTGGTTTGGTGCTGAAAGCTGGCCAGGGTGAAACAGAGTTCAGAAGGAGAGTCCTGCTTGGTCCCCGTCACTCCCTCAGGACACCTAAAGGTTTTCTGGGAATTAAGAAACCTCCGAGTGGGGCAGGCCCTCAGGCAGGGCCGGGTCCCTGCCCTGCTGTGGCTGCCTGAGACCCTGCGGCCCAGGAACAGGCGGGAGCGTTTCCGGTTCAGGTGTGGCGGTGCTTGGCACCGCGTGTGCCAGCTCCAGTGCCGTGAGCGGGGGAGATGGCCGCGGCACGTGCCCCAGGCTCTTGCGGGAGTCACTCGCCAGGGACAGGCCATTCCTCCACTGGAACAACTGACCGTGTCTCCTCTCTGCCCCAGACACTGCGGGACATTGTGATCGGGGTCCTGCACCAACTGAAGAGTCAGCTCTACTGAGCCTTCCTGCTGCAGCGCCAGTGGCTCCGGGGCTGCCGCCGCCTCCGCACCCGTGGGGACGGGGCATCTCCTGCCCGGGGGCCTGGGTGATGGGCGCCAGGAAGGGCTGGGCCATCTCCCTCGCGGCTGTTCTTAAAGCTTCTCTGGATTATTTATTGTATTAACTACAAAACCAAAATGAGGCTGTGCAGACACCTCTGCTCCACAGGTACTGTCACAGTCAATATTACCAAATATTTGTAGGGACTTAGCAAAGGTGGGGAAAAAAATGTGTATTGAGCAGAGGTCTTTTAAGGTGCCAGAGAGTCTTTGGCTCAGGCAGGTGTGGTGGGGTTTGCCTGTGCCACTGACTCTCCACCGTGGAGCGGATCTGCTCTGTAACCTCAGCCCTCCGATACAACCCCTTCTGATCCTGGGGGAGAGGGAATGAAGCAAGAATGCATGCTAAAAGCTGTTGGTTTCTGTTAAAACAGACTAGGAATAGGCTTCTCCCATAACCGTGGGCTTTCTCATACCTCCCTCTGAAGCAGCTCTTACGGGGCAGGTTTTTTTTAAGCTGTGTAGATGCTTTGGGGAAGCCTGGCAGAGCTGGCTGAAGGATGAGCCTGTCGCTGCCAGGGAGACGCTTAGTCGGTGCAGCCGCAGCCTCCCCAGTGCAGAGCTGGCGGCACGCGCCGGGGACTTGCTAAAACCTGACCTCTTCCGCTGCAGCCATAGTTCCCCTGACAGGGAGACGGGAGTGAGCTTTCTGTGCAGGCTTTTCCTGAGCGAGTGCTGAAACGTGTCTGGCTTCATCTGTCTTCGGGTTTTGGTGTGGCTGTACTGAACGGGGAAGTAGTTCAGTAGCTGTAGCACGGTGCTGCGCGGGCTCTCGCTGCTCCTCCTTACAGCTTTTATGTAGATACATACATAGACATAACCAGCCTTGATTTGATTTTTGTTTTTATAAATCACTGAAATCATCTTGAAGTATTACCAGTGTCAGCTTTGCAGACGGGTGCTCTCTGGGACACTTTTTTAACCTGTCACATGCTGCCGTCAGTGCGGGTCATGGCTCTGGCCAACACAAACGCTTCGTGGCGTGGTGTAGCTGCTGCCCAAGCGATGGTTGTTCACCACACAGAGCGACTGTACTGGGGCTCCTCCAGCGTGGTGACGCCAGCAGCAGGATTTGTTCTCTGTAATCGCCTTCGTGCTCCCACTCCAGGGGTAGTGGATATTTATTTTACACTCAGTTCCAGGTTACGTGGTTTGAACGCTGCAGCGTGAGAATGTTTAAGCTGCTGGTTCTACCCCCATTTAGTAGCAGAGAACCCCGTGGGGGGGTGTGTGTGTGTGAGATTTTTATACAGAATTATTCTTCAAACCCTGCCTTTGGGTGCCCTTTTCAATGCAACGGAAGCCCCAGAGTCAAACCCTGCGGTGATGCACATCACTGATAAAGCACGCACAGGGTCAGCTGTGTCTCGCCTGGACAATCTTGCTCCGGGATGAAGAAAATCCTTTCTCGTGGGTGAGCGGGGGTGTGTGTGTGTGTGAGATTTTTATACAGAATTATTCTTCAAACCCTGCCTTTGGGTGCCCTTTTCAATGCAACGGAAGCCCCAGAGTCAAACCCTGCGGTGATGCACATCACTGATAAAGCACGCACAGGGTCAGCTGTGTCTCGCCTGGACAATCTTGCTCCGGGATGAAGAAAATCCTTTCTCGTGGGTGAGCAGGTTAGGGTTAGGGCTCTGCGGCTGAACAAGGGGCACAGACTGAACCCCTGGAGATGCTCTGCCAGAAGCTGCCTCCTGCCTTAGGGAGGACGTGGAGTTTTACAGACCTCACATGTGAAAGCGATGTATTTTTCTATTGTGAAAAGTAATTAAATAAATTTTGCTGAATGTTTTAATGGTTTTTCTGCTTTTATTTCTGTTGCTGAGTTTCTGGAGTCTTCCCTAGAGCTGGTCAGAGATGGACAGGTAGTTTCTGGAAGCCCGGCCCAGCTCAGCTGTCCTGGCTCAGGTTACCCTCTCCTGGCTCTTGCCTTCCCCACCCCTCAGGGCTGCTGTGACCCAGTGCCCAAACCCTGCCCTGACACCCTTTGAACAGAGAAAAACGCCACAGCAAAGCACAGCTGAACCAAAAGCCTGGTGTTTAATGGATCATATCCTTGTGTACCACTGAGTCACGCTGTGGGAAGCAGCTGAAATGCACCTGTACTGACACCTTCCCCTACACCGCCCCGTGAGGACACCTGACCTCAACAGCTCACTGCACTGAAGGGCAGGAAGAAGTAACATTCCCTCTGCAAGTGAGACTGAGAGGGCCCAGTGCCAAGTCACTGGCTCCAACCACCCCTCCAGCTGCAAAGCATTTTAAAACAAACGCATATAAATATGCAGGACCAGCCCAAGCCCTGCAAAAAGAGGAGAAAAAAAAAAACCCCAACAGCTGAGTTTCAGCATCAGCTCCTTCTCCCTGGGGCAAAGACTCCCTCAGCGCCTCACACAGCCGCTGGCAGCGTGACATTATGGTCCTCGTCCGTCTCTATCCCAACCTCCTCCTGTAGAAGCACAGGGTGTCAGCAGGGCGGGGGCCCTGGCCCGGCAGAGCCACCACCGCCGCGGGGCCGAGCCCGGCCTCGGTACTTACGAAGAATTGCTTCTTGCTTTTGGGGTACCCCTCCAGGATGGCCTCCAGCAGCTCGGTCGCCTGGTGAGACAGGGGCACCGTGAGGGCTGCGGGGTGGCCGTGCTGAGCTGCCAGCACCGGGCAGCCCCACTACAGCTCTCGGGGACTGTCCCCCATAGGGGCGTCACAAGCCAGCGCAGCTCGGGTGACAGCGTGGGAGCAGCTCTCTCTAACGCAGGAAGAGTCTGCTTTGTTTCCTGGGGACTGGCGGAGCTCTGCAGGGACTCGTGTGTTGGGGCACTGCAGCGACACAGCCTTTTCCCAGAGGATCGTCTTGGTACCCGCGAGTCTTCCCCAAACCTGCGTGGCCCCGGGGGCGGCACCGGGTGCGGCCGGCGCAGCACTCCCTGCTCCACAGCCACAGCGTTCACCTGAGGTCTCCTCACTCAGCACTGCAGCGGAGGGGAGGCGCGCGGCTCGAACAGGGGCTGCTCCCCAAGCTGCCCAGCAGACCCCCACGTCCGGGTGCCAGCATCACCCAGTGTCACCGCGGGACTGTCACCGCCACCTCCCCAGCACTGCCCACCCGCCCCCCTCGATGGCACGACTGTTACCATTCGCTTCCTCCTCCGCCACTCCTTGCAGTACAGCTTCTGCTGGCTACAGACCTGCGAACAGCAAGACAAAGTGAGAACCAGCCAGGCAGCAGCTGCCCCACGAAGCCGCCGTAAGCCTGAGGCAGGAAGCGCCTGGTGCCAAGGACCCACCAGATGTCCCAGCTACAGCCAGAGGGTTATTTAACAGCACAAGTGGCTCACGAACCCCCTGCCTCCGTCGTACCGGTACCAGTTGGACCGAGAACCGGGTAACCCGGCCGAGGGTTTGGTACGATTGGCCCAGCCCTGGCCCGGGCTCTGCCGCTGGTGCTTGGCTCAGCCCCAGGCAACTCTTTACCCTCTCTTTTTCTTCCGGAGTCACATGACAGCCAGAGGGTTATTTAACAGCACAAGTGGCTCACGAACCCCCTGCCTCCGTCGTACCGGTACCAGTTGGACCGAGAACCGGGTAACCCGGCCGAGGGTTTGGTACGATTGGCCCAGCCCTGGCCCGGGCTCTGCCGCTGGTGCTTGGCTCAGCCCCAGGCAACTCTTTACCCTCTCTTTTTCTTCCGGAGTCACATGGTTGGTGGCAGACTTAATCCTCTCCAGTTTCTCCGTGTAGCTCGCACAGTCCTTCCTCAGCTCCTCCATCTCTCTGGCCATCTCAGGGGTTGTCATGGAGCTGTTCAGGTCCTTCAGCTCTGGAAGGGAGGCACCGATCACCGGCAGGGCCGACGGCCTGGCGGCCAGGGCACAGCTGCCCGTGCCCACGGGGCCCCCAGCCG